CCACCCCATCCGGGCCGCGCCTCCGTCTGGCCTCGCCCCCGGAACGGCCCGGGCGCTCCCGCCCGCCTCACCGCTCTCCAGACACGCCCCTATAGCTTGGACGCGCCCCCGAACTGTCTGGACACGCCCTCTGTCCCCGCCCCTGCCACGTCTGCCCGCCTCCCTGCTCTGCAGACACGCCCCCTCCCACACTGGCCACGCCCCTGCAATGATGCCGCTCTCTGACCACGCCCACTCAACCCAGACCACGCCCCTCAAGTAGTCTGACCACGCCTCGAGCCCACCCGCCCCTTCACCGATGCCACGCCCACTTATTAATATAGCTCCGCCCACTCGGCCCCTCAGGAGGACGCGGGGTCGGAGGGGGATCCTGCCCCTCTCGTGCCGTGGGATGGAAGCAACAAACACCTGCAAACGCACGAGAGAAAACCCCAACCCCGGAGGCACTTGGAGCAAACACCGAGTATTTAATAAGCTGTTGGACCTGAACTAGGGGGCAAGAGGCCGGTGGTTGTGTTAGGAGGAACGTCGGTGATGGGACGCGGGAGCTGGTCCTGACCCTTCCTCAGCTCTGGTGGGGCTCAGCTGAAGTGCTGCGTCCAACTCTGGGCTCCTCGGGATCAGCGAGACATGGAGGTCCCGGAGTGGGGCCCGTGGGGGCTGTGGAGATGATGAAGGGACTGGAGCATCTTTCGTATGAGGAATGGCTGGCAGCTGGGGCTTTTCAGCCTCCAGAGGAGACCCAGGTGAGAGGGGCCCTCAGCCCTGTGTGTGTATCTGCAGGGAGGGCTCAGAGCAGGGTCCAGGCTCTGCTCCGTGGGGCCCAGCAATGGCACCACAGGAACGGGCAGGAACCGATGCCCAGGAACATCCACCTGGACATGAGGCAGAACTTCTTCGCTGTGCAGGTGCCCAAGCACTGAACTGGTCAGGGAAAGTGTGGGGTCTCCCTCGCTGGGGGTATTCCAGAACCATCTGGACACAATCGTGTGCCCTGTGCTCTGGAATGGCCCAGCCGGAGCAGGAAGGTGGGAGCTGATGTCCCAGTGTGGTCCCTTAAACTTGAACTATTCTGGGGTTCATCTCGTCCCGCAACAGCCGTGTCACCGCTGCCACTGCAGTCACTGTCCCATCCCTGGCCACGCCCCCGACCCCGGCCGCGCCCCCCGG